TTGGGGCTGGGGGGCCCGCGAAGAGAATGCTGATGAGGGGAAGGCGCTGCATTGGACGGACCAACACCCCCCCACCCCGGGCCACCCCCTCCGCCACACCGTGCCACCGCCCTGCCTGGCAGCCCGTGGGCACAAGAGCCCATGGAGACAAGAGGCTGGGAGACCTGGGGAAAGGCCAAACAGCTGGGAGGTGAGGGTGACAGAGATGAAGAAAAATGCAGAGAAACAGAAAGCCGGTCATGGAGACACATTGAGGTGGGCCAAGGTCCACAAACCCCACAAGGACACCAGAGAAAGTGGGGAGAAAAACGAGCATCCCACTGAGACATGCCAAGGACCTTGCAGAGGAGGGCAGCTCATGGACACAGCCCCCCTAATGCCCCCACTCCCAGCACCCCAAGGAGATGGGGACAGGGAGCAGCTTGTGGACACAGAGAGCCCCTGGGAAGATGGGGAGAGGCCACAGAAAGGTCAGAAAGGCCAGAGGCCCCTGGGAATATGGGCATGGAAAGCACTTCTCAGGCAGAGTGGTCCATGGTAACTTGACAAGAGAAGGCCATGCACAAGAGAGGCCTATAGAACCGAATAAGAATGCATATCAGAGAGACAGGGAGGAGGGCCCAGAAGAGTGGGAGAAGGTCACAGAAATGGGGGTGGGTGTGGAGGGGGAGGCCTGCAGACACCAGGAAACTCACAAAGGCAATGATGTAGCTCTTGGAGACAGGAGGCCCACTGAGGCAGGAGCAGCTGACCCATGAAGACAAGAGTATGCCCCCAGAAATAGAAGCAGCCCCTATGGAGGTGAAGGGATGGTGAGTACAGGAATTCTCCACAAGGCAAAGAGTAATTCTTGGGACCCACAAAAATGAGTGGGTGGAGAGGAGAGCATCCCAACTGAGAATCAGCAGAGAGGGGAAGCCACAAGGGCAGAGAGCTGGAGGGCAGAGCCAGCACAAGTGGGAGACTCCCAGGGGCAGCTCTGCAGCCTCTGGGAGGGAGCTGAGCAGGGCAGGGGGATGGAAGACTGAAGCAAAGCGACACAGATCTTGAAGTGGGGGTGGGTGGTGCAAGGCTGGGTGGGGGGTGAAATTTGGGGGGAAGGAACATGACAGTTGGCGCTGAAGGCTGAGCCTGTGACTCACCACCACCCCCAAATGCTCGTGATGGGGAGGAGACGCTGCCACACTCACGTGCAGCCCCCAGCGCATGTGACCGCATGCCTCGCACACACACGTGGCACGTGGCAACTCTCACCCTGGCCTGGCAGGGGGAAGTCCTCTGTGGCTGGCATGTGGGGCACCTCCAGGGGTCTCCACCCATCCAGCTCATCCTGAGGGGCCACTAATTTTGCACGTACCTCCTCACCTTACTTGGGCAACATATGTGACCCAACACTCACTCTAAGCTTCAGCTAGGCCTGAAAGCCCTGCCTCTAGGTCTGCGCTTGTGCGGGACCCCAGAATGCCTGCCCTCTCTAAACCTAATCTGTCCCAGCAGCCGTACTCCTGCTCCACTCCCGGACTGGTTTTAGCCGCAGCTTACTCTGGTATCATCTGAAGACAAGCTAATCCAGGTAAATGGGGAAGTCCAAGCAGAAAGTCTGAGCTGAAAGGCCCCTGACAAAGCAAGCCAGACCCAGGTATTTTCAAGGGGGCGGTGGGGGGTGGGGTGGTGTAAAAAAAAAAAAAAACAGTTCAGCAGGAGTGAGAACCTGCCCAGGGGTCTGGAGACTGTCAAATGCCTGAGTCCTGTCCCGGGTGATTCACTCTGAGGGCTTCAGAGCACACTGGTCCCAGCTTTAGAGTTCACTAATTTCCACCAATTTCTTTCCCCTACTTCTAGCATTTATCCACGTGACATGTGACCTGGACCAGGGGACATGCCGCTGGCCAGGCAGTAGAGCCTGGAGGCCATGAGTATAGACCTTGGAGTTAATAGTGAGTTGGAATCCTGGCTCTGACTCTTCTAATGGACTTGTTACTCGTTACCTAACTTCTCTGGGTCTCAGTTGTGTGTTTGTGGTTTTGGTTTTTTTTTTTTTTTGCACAGTGAGACTAGTGCCTCCCTCCTAGGGCTGCTTAGAGGATTAAGCTGAATACTTGGAAAGCACTGAGTGCGATGCTTCGCTCATCCTAACACGTTCCTGTTAGCTATTATTACTATGCTCCTTGAGTTCCCAGTAAAAATAACTCATATACAGCTTTTACTCCGTGCCTACACCCACTGTAAGAGGCAGGGGCTACTAGCTCCATTTCACAGATGAGGAAACTGAGGCACAAGGGGGCTGACTAACCCATGGCAACAGCCAGAAAGTAGCAGAGCCAGGAGTCCAATCTAGGCAGCCTGGTTTAACTACATGCATCTGGGGTTAGGGAGTTTCATCCAGTGGAAAATTAGGACCACCGCCTCCCTAACCCGTCAGAAACTAATGGAAGGACATAGCAAAAGTGATGACTTAAGCATCAGACCTAAGACTTTTTTTTTTAATTAAAAAATTTTAACTGAGGGGCCTCCCTGGTGGCACAAGGGGTTAAGCACAGCACTGTGAAGCTATCCAAAGCCACTGTAGCACAAGTTCAATGCCTGAGTTCAATTCCCAGAGAGGGAGCTGGCCCACACGGCGCAGGCGCAGCAGACCTTTCCTGTCTCACCTGTTGCTCCCCTTAGCAGTGTATTTCAGTAGATCCGCTTGTTCTGCTCTCCACTTTGTCTCTAGTGAATCCTCTCACCCCCCACACCTGTGGCCTGCACCCCAGTTCTTGTATGCATAAATCTTTAAAAAAAATTGTAACTGGGCCTCACTGGTGGCGCAAGGAGTTAACACACAAACTATGAAGCTATTTCCGTACCCACTGCAGGACAAGTTCGAACACTGGCCAGGGAGCAACCCAGATGGCGCAGCAGACCTCCCCTGACTAGCCCACTGTTCCCCTCAGCAGTGTATTTCAGTAGATCTGCCTGTTCTGTTCCCTGCTCTGTCTTGGTGAATCCTCTCAGCCCCCCACACCTCTGGCCTGTAAGCCCGTTCTTGTATGCATCAATAAATCAATCTTTGAAAAAAATTATAACTGAAGTATAACTGGCATACATTAGTTTCTGGCATAAACATAATTTGGTGTTTGTACACATTGCAAAATGATCACAGGAAGTGTAGGTGCCATGCCTCCATAAAGGTAGACTCCATTATTTTTTTTGATGAAGAGAACTTGCAAGATGTACTCTCAACACACTGAAATATGCCACACGATTGACCATAGTCACCGTGCTATACATTCTGTCCCCACGACTTAATATCTTCTCATCAGAAGTATGTCTCTCTCCACCCCAGGGGTCTAGGTCATCCTCTTCTTGGGGTTCCCTAATAGCAGCTGGCCTCAGGTAGGTAAATGGCTCTCCTGAGACTCAGTTTACTCATCTGAAAAATGGGGAGGGGGCAGTTAAGAGTAGGTGAACCTCTCACAGGTGCCCTCTTCCCGGGTTCAGGGAGTAGCTCTGGAAACACCTGCTCACTCCCAAGGTCCTGAGGGCCAGAGTGCGTGGGAATGGCCTGAGGCCCCAGGAGCCCAAGGGGAGGCCACCTCCCCAGAGCTATGGGGGCGGTCAGCTTGGAAGAAATAAAGGTGCCCTGCAAAGAAGCAGACTACAGTTCATCCGCTAGGGGGTCACTTCCCTCAGGTCTCGCCCTCGTTGTCCTTCTGTTGTAGAGCAACCCCGATACAAAACGGGGTGCCTGACTGTGGGTCCTCACCCGCCTAACACTTCGACACCCCCACCCCGAGACACACACATACTCTCACACACACACACACACACACACTCTCTCTCTCTCTCTCTCTCTCTCTCTCTCTCTCACTCCCTGTTCCACGAATGCAACTGCCGGTGCCGGCTTTTTCTTTTTCTCCCTCCGTTTTCCATTTCCTCCCCTATCTTTCAGGTTTTCCTCCTTCCCTCCGAGCCTCTCGCTCCTCGCCTGACATTTCTCCCCCCACTTCCTCCAGTGCCCCTCGCTGTCGCTCCCCTTCTCGCCGCCGTTATGTCTCCCCACTGGAACCTCGATTCCCCCCTTTCCTCCGGGTGACCGAGGCTGCCGTCCCCCCTCGCCCCTTCGCGCTGACGGGTGCGTCACTTTCTCCTTCGGCTCCTCGGCGGCCCCTGCACCTCCATGCCCCGCCCTCCCGGGTCGCGGGCCTCCACCTCCCCGACTTGCCCCGCGACCCCGACGCGCCTGACGCCCGTAGCCCCCAAGATGGCGGTCACCGCCCCGTTCCGCCGCCAGACGTCAGCGCGCCGCCCTCCCCTGAGCCGTCGGGCGGAGCCGGCCAAGAGGCGGGGGAGCGGCCTCCTCCGGGCCTAAGGGGCGGGCACTAGCCACCGAGGGCGGGCCGGCGAGGGAACCTCGCTAGAGGATTGGCGAGGCGCTGCGGAGGGATGCCGACGCTGCATACCATTGGCCCGAGTCTCGGAGACATGAGCGCCTATTGGCTGAGTCGCAGGGGCCAGCGGGGCGATGATTGGGCGCGTTGGGCTGTCTGGCGGTGGTAAGGCGGAGGAAGGTGGGCGGGGCGTTGCTGAGGGCGATTGGGGGCGAGAGCGAGGCTGCGGAGCAGGCGAGAGGGGCCCGCGGGATCTAGAGAGGGCGCAGCGCTAGGGTGGCCGCGCGAGGGGAGCGGCCGCCCGGGCCCGGCCCGGGGCCGGGGCCTGCGAGACAGCGGAGGCGGGTGAGTGCGGGCGGGCGCGCGGAGGCCCGCTCCCGCCCTGCCCGCGCGGCCTGCTCGCCACCCCGCCTGCGCACTGTGGGCCGGGGCGAGGGCGCGCGCAGGGCGGAGCGGTACAACGGCTCGGGCGCGCGGCGGCCGGGGTGGGGGTTGGAGGGCCGGCCGGGGCTGCGCGTGGGGCCGGGGCTGCTGCGTGTGAAGGGCTGAGTGAGGAGGGGCGGGGCTCGGGCTGGGGGCTGCGGGGGATCGGGGTGCGGAGGGAGGCTTTGGAGCTGCCCCCCGGAGGGTCTCCGAGGCTGCGGGGCTGAGGGCTTGGGGCGTGGGACGGTTCTGGGCCGAAGGCCGGGTGCCCGGGAGGGGGTGAGGGCCATGAGCAAAGAGGCGACGAAGTTAACGTGAAGAGAAAGTCGAGTTATGCCGGGAGAGAATAAGTGAGAAGGGTCTCGGCGTGAAAAATTAGCAAGTGGCGATCCCTTGAAGGGAGATTGGGAGCTGAGGGAGACGTCCAGGTGTGAGGCGTGGAGTTAGATTAACGTGAAAAGTTAAGCCAAAGCGGGAGGCACCCTTAGAATGGGTGGGTGGGGTCCTTCTGCAAAGGAGGGTCCTGTGAAAAGGGTGTTGGTGGCTCTGGACTAGGCTGGGGGGAGGTAGTTTTTTCGGAAGGTATAGGGAATTGGGTCGTGAAGAGTGGGTATCGGGTATCCCTGGAGGGTGTTAAAGGTGGTGAGAGATCTGTGTGCTAAGGTGAAAGGGGATCTGAGTCTGACTGGAGTGAGAATGAGACGTTAGATGCAGTTGGGGGTCTGGGTATCCACAGGTTAAGCCTGGTGAGAGGGATCTGGTTGCCCTCGGCCTGGGGCGTGGGTGTAGATCTGTGTAAGAGATCTGGGTGACCCTAGAAGGGAATTAGGCAGTAGGAGGGGTTTGTGTGAAAGGAGTTTAAGCCAACGTGAAGGGTAGTCTGGGAATCCTTGGGTGTTCAGGATCTTTTTTGCCAAGGATAGGAATTAAGTTGATATGGAGGGGGTCTGAGTACCTCTGGAATGGGTTAGGGCAGGTGAGTTTGTAAGGAAAGGATGATTTGTAGAGATGGGTCTGGGTGTTCCAGATAAGGAGTTAGGGTTGTGGGAGGGGGCCTCCATTTGTAGTGGGAGTTAAGTAATTTGCAGAGAGGGATCTGGCTATCAGTGGGAAGTGGTTAAGGTGGAGAACGTCTGGGTGTGAAAGTGGGTTAGGCTAATGTGAGGAAAGTTGGTTGGGGGAAGGCATGTGGGGCATGAATCTGGGCACCAGAGGGAGAGAAGAGTGGGTCTGGGAGAAGCTGAGGGTTTAGGGCCTGAGTAAGAACCCTCCTGGGTACCTGGGAGTCCAAAATGGGGTATTGAACCAGTAAGGAGGATGTCTCTAGAGAAGATGGCCCAGGCTTCTATGCGATGGAGGAGTAGGGCCTGCAGCCTGCTGTGAGATGAGGGATTGGGAGGTTACTGGGATCTGGTGGGTGGAGTTTGGTGCAAGTTGACTGGAAGTGAGACTTGGGTAGATTTCCTGGGAAGGGACTGCTGGGAAGGTTTTGTGCTTGGTGCTTTTGTGTGTTGAGGGGAGTTGAGAGGAGGAATTACTGGGGAGGGGGGCTGGAATGGAGAAGTGGAAGCAAGGAGTTAGAGGGGGAAACAGATCTAAGGTTGGGGGGGGCATGACAAAGGGAAAGAATTTTTCCTGGGAATGACTGAGGAAGCAGTGACTGAGCTGTGCTTTGTCCCCACCACTCCCCTGTCCCAGCCCAGGGCCTGGCCGCCGCCATGACTGAGGAGTCGGAGGAGACGGTCCTGTACATTGAGCACCGCTATGTCTGCTCTGAGTGCAACCAGCTCTACGGCTCCCTGGAGGAGGTTCTTATGCACCAGAACTCCCACGTGCCCCAGCAGCATTTTGAGCTGGTGGGCGTGGCTGACCCTGGCGTCACTGTGGCCACAGAAACAACTTCCGGCACCGGACTCTACCAGACCCTAGTACAGGAGAGCCAGTACCAGTGCCTGGTGTGCGGGCAGCTCCTGATGTCACCCACCCAGCTCCTGGAGCACCAGGAGCTACACCTGAAGATGATGGCACCCCAGGAGGCAGTGCCAGCTGAGCCGCCACCCAAGGCCCCCGCCCTGAGCTCCAGTACCATCCACTATGAGTGTGTGGATTGCAAGGCTCTCTTTGCCAGTCAGGAGCTCTGGCTGAACCACCGGCAGACACACCTCCGGGCCACTCCCACCAAGCCTTCCCCCCCAGTGGTCCTGGGATCCCCAGTGGTCCTAGGATCCCCTGTGGGCCAGGCCCTGGTGGCTGTGGAACATTCATACCGCAAGGCAGAAGAGGATGGGGAAGGGGCAGCTGTCCCCCCTGCCGCTGCCACCGCCACTGAGGTGGTGACTGAAGTGGAGCTGCTCCTCTATAAGTGCTCCGAGTGCTCCCAGCTCTTCCAGCTGCCAGCCGACTTCCTGGAGCACCAGGCCACCCACTTCCCTGCTCCGGCCCCAGAGTCTGAGGAGCCTGCCTTGCAACCTGAGACCCTGACCCCACCGCTGGCTGAGGTGCCTGTGTCTCAGCCCGACCCCCTGCCATCCTCAGACCACAGCTATGAGCTGCGCAACGGTGAAGCCATCGGGCGTGATCGCCGGGGCCGCAAGACCCGGAGGAACAATAGTGGAGAACCTGGCGGAGCTGCCACCCAGGAGTTGTTTTGCTCGGCCTGTGACCAGCTCTTTCTCTCGCCTCACCAGCTACAGCAGCACCTGCGGAGCCACCGGGAGGGCGTCTTTAAGTGCCCCCTGTGCAGTCGTGTCTTCCCCAGCCCTTCCAGTCTGGACCAGCACCTTGGAGACCACAGCAGCGAGTCTCACTTCCTTTGTGTGGACTGCGGCCTGGCCTTCAGTACAGAGGCCCTGCTCCTGGCCCACCGGCGAGCTCACACCCCGAATCCTCTGCATTCGTGTCCATGTGGTAAGACCTTTGTCAACCTCACCAAGTTCCTTTATCACCGGCGTACCCATGGGGCAGGCGGTGTCCCTCTGCCCACAACACCTGTCCCACCAGAGGAGCCTGTCATTGGTTTCCCTGAGCCAACGCCGGCAGAGACTGGAGAGCCAGAGGCCTCAGAGCCCCCCACATCCGAGGAAAGCCCAGCTGGGCCCACTGCCCCTGGCACGTACCGCTGCCTCCTGTGCAGCCGTGAATTTGGCAAGGCATTGCAGCTGACCCGGCACCAACGCTTTGTACACCGCCTGGAACGGCGCCATAAGTGTAGCATTTGCGGCAAGATGTTCAAGAAGAAGTCTCATGTTCGTAACCACCTGCGCACACACACGGGCGAGCGGCCCTTCCCCTGCCCAGACTGCTCCAAGCCCTTCAACTCACCTGCCAACCTGGCCCGGCACCGGCTCACGCACACAGGGGAGCGGCCCTACCGATGCGGGGACTGCGGCAAGGCATTCACACAGAGCTCCACGCTGAGGCAACACCGCCTGGTGCACGCCCAGCACTTCCCCTACCGCTGCCAGGAGTGTGGGGTGCGTTTTCACCGCCCGTACCGCCTGCTCATGCACCGCTACCACCACACGGGTGAGTACCCCTACAAGTGTCGCGAGTGCCCCCGCTCCTTCTTGCTGCGCCGGCTGCTGGAGGTGCACCAGCTTGTGGCCCACGCTGGGCGCCAGCCCCACCGCTGCACATCCTGCGGGGCTGCCTTCCCTTCCTCACTGCGACTCCGTGAGCACCGCTGTGCAGCAGCCGCTGCCCAGGCCCCACGGCGCTTTGAGTGTGGAACCTGTGGCAAGAAGGTGGGCTCAGCTGCTCGGCTGCAGGCGCACGAGGCGGCCCACGCAGCTGCTGGACCTGGAGAGGTCCTGGCTAAGGAGCCCCCCGCCCCTCGGGCCCCCCGGGCTACGCGCTCACCTGTTACCTCCCCCACGACCCTGGGAGGTACGGCCCCTGCTGCCTCACCCCGCCGCCGAGGCCTGGAGTGCAGTGAATGCAAAAAGCTGTTCAGCACAGAGACATCGCTGCAGGTACATCGGCGCATCCACACAGGCGAGCGGCCGTATCCATGTCCAGACTGTGGCAAGGCCTTCCGGCAGAGCACCCACCTGAAGGACCACCGCCGCCTGCACACAGGTGAGCGACCCTTTGCCTGTGAAGTGTGTGGCAAGGCCTTTGCCATCTCCATGCGCCTGGCAGAACATCGTCGCATTCACACGGGTGAACGGCCTTACTCCTGCTCCGACTGTGGCAAGAGCTACCGCTCCTTCTCCAACCTCTGGAAGCACCGTAAGACCCACCAACAGCAGCACCAGGCAGCTGTGCGGCAGCAGCTGGCAGAGGCAGAGGCAGCCGTTGGCCTGGCTGTGATGGAGACTGCAGTGGAGGCCCTGCCTTTAGTAGAAGCAATTGAGATCTACCCTCTGGCTGAGGCCGAGGGGGTCCAGATCAGTGGCTGACCGCCCTGTTCCCTCTATGCTTTGTTGCAAAGAACCTCCTCCAACATCCTCTTAATTCTCTGTATATACTGTGCCCCTTCTTCTACCCCTCCCAACCACCATGTAATTTCTGTAATTAGATTTATTCTCTCTTCTGAGGAGGTGCTTGGGGGTCCTTGATATGCTTGAAGGTGCCCCCCCCCCCAACCTTCCACTGGTTAGCACTGGTGGCCCCCAGGTGAAATTGTCAATAAAGACTTGAATTGGACATTTATGTCTGGCCCAGCTGTATGGGGTGGAATTTGGGAGCCATAAGGCCAGGTACTTGGACTTCTCATGACTGTGTTTCTGGCATCTAGGCTAGGGCCTGGCAAGTAGTAGGAATTGAACTGAATTGTCCTACTGAGTTGCAGATAGTACTGGATTAAAACCTAGTCTGTGAGGCTGGCTCTCAAGGAGCCCAGGGAACCCAGGGAGTGGGCGCTGGGCTAGTACTCAGTGGCGGCAGTGTGGTCCTCGTGCCACTAGAGGTCACCACAGCCCCACAGAAAAGCCTTAAGCTATTAGCAGGAACATTTGGGAAAGTCTTGAGATACCTACCACCCATCTCCCCACTTCCTAGCCTACTATGGGCCATCTCCCCAAGACTATCTGGCTTCTCCCTGAGGGAAGTGCAGTTCAGGAGAAAGGTATGATCTGGGCAGTAGAAAAAGATGGCTCCTGGCACCAGCTGTGGAGTGGAGAAGGCTTTGAGTGATAGTTCGCTGGGGGGAGAAGCCTCAGGAGTTGGACATGGGCCCAATCAACAGGTATTTTTTTTTAGGTAGAAGGGTGATGTTTGAATGTCTAGTTTGCCTCAAATACTCCTATCCTTTTTTAAAAAATAATCTTAATGATGACCCTGTGAAGAGAACATTTTCAGGGAAGGAATCTGAAGTGATAAGCAGAGAGGTGACTTACCGAAGGTCACTCAGCCCAGATTGGGCAGAGCTTGAATTCAAGCCTGGTTTCATCTGGTTTAACCACCCACATGCTTTCCTCTATACTCGGCTGCTGTCTGCGTGCTTGGGGGAGGGCAGTGGAGAAAGGAGATGGTGTGTGTGGGGCTCATAGGAATGCTCAGTTACTATGCTAATTTTGTCCTCATAACCCACACCCCAAGAAAAATAAGCTCCCCCAAGTATACTTCATTGGAGAGAATTCTTATTTGGAACCCTAATAAATGAGAGGTGAAAGGGAGCTGCTTACATTGAATTGAAACTGAAGGAAAAGAGGCCAAGAGCTGCCCCTCGGTCTGTTACATTTGATTCCCTTCATCATTTCCTTTGCCCTCTGTGAGAGCACTAAGACATGTTCTAGAAATCACTGGCCCAGCCTTTTGCACAGGTGAGGAAATGAGGCACATAGGTGGTAGAGGCAGTTAGAAACCTGGTCCCCTAACTCCATGAATAGATTATTAAGCATAATTTTAGTCATTTCAAAAAAAGAAAATGGACTCACCCATCTGCTATCCCGCCAGCTCTTGTGAAGGGCAGTGGCCTGTCAGTAGTTTTCGACCAGAGTTTGTAGGTTGTGGGCACCATCTTTTCATCACCACATACCCTGCAGAGAGAACTGGAACCATCTGAGCCCCACATTCCAGAGCCCCTTAGGTGCCAGGTAAGGACCATTCTCTAACTCTGCCCCCTCAAGAAGAGCCAGAACAGGGCCTCCCCGGTGGCGCAGCGGTTGAGTGCTGGGTTGCGAAGCTGCCCGCAGCCTCTGCAGCACTGGTTCGATCCCCGGCTGCCGGGTGAGGGTCCCACATGGCGTGCAGACCTCTCCTGCCGCCCGCTGCTCCCCTCAGCAGTGTACTTCGGTCCTTCTGCCTGCTCTGCTCCCGCTCTGGCTCTGGTGAATTCTCTCACCCTCCCGCGCTTCTGACTGTACCCAGTGCTTGTATAAATAAATAAATAAATAAATAAATAAATAAATCTTTAAAAAAAAAAAAAAGAAGAGCCAGAACAGCCTGAAAACGGTATCAAATGCGTGCTTAGAACAGTTGGAGGGGTCCTCCTTGGTGAAACCAGATAAAAGTCAGGCTGACAGGGGCCAGGAGTGGAGAGGGCCTGTGGGTGCTGGTTGACCCCGAGATAACAGTGCTTTCAGCAGACAAGCATGACTGATGGTGTGTTGATGTCCTTCACTGTACCTATTTTGAGCCTCTTATGAAAGCTTTGCACTCCCTCCCTGAGAACAGTCCTGCAAATGTGTTCATGAGCCAGATTCATTGTTGATGAATCCACCGAAACTCAGTGGCCCTCAGTTAAACACTTAAAAAGATGACATTAACCAAAATGTTTTTGATGCTAGCATTAATCCCTGCTGACAGGCAGGGGTTCTTGAACTCTTAAGTTGTCTTAGGCCATTCCCCCCAGAATTGTGCAGCCAGCCAGCATGTGGGGGAAACCCAATTCTGATGAAGTAACTCACAGACCCCTCCGCAAAGAGTGTTGCATTCGCTGCCTTCCGTGGGCTACGGATGCCATGCGAGCAGGACTGTCAAGGGGACAGAACAGTGGTCTTCAGTGCCCAGTGTGTTGACAAGAGGAGGCCCAAGTATTACTGTCCAGTGTGGGCATGTGAGCAAGTTGGGCATTTTCATGGGGGACAGGTGGGCACCGTGTTTAGCTCCAGGGTGCTCTTGGGTTTGCCATCTATACATGTCACAGCATGACTGGGTGATGGAACTCCGGGGTCTGGGTGGTTCTGACTGCACCACCCTGAGGGCAGGGGCTGGACCAAATACTCTTTTTGGGGGTACTATTTTGAACATCCCAACATCTCACCACATGCCCCATCCCTGTGGACTGGAGAATTTGGAAGCCCTCTTTTCTTTCAATCTTGCAAAGGGATGTGGTGCCAATACTTCATAAATTACCCCTCTAGCTAGCTCTGTCCCCCCATCTATAAAATGTCTCCTCACTACTGAACTTGCGGAATCCCCGTACCTTTGTGCCAGGCATATGTCAGATGAGACGGTGACAAGGAGACCTGATGGCAGTGAGCTGTTGACATCATTTCTGAGTTTCAGTGGTGAGGTCTTGGGGCCTGGCCCATGAAGCTGTTCCTGCCAGATGACTTAAGATGGGCACGAAATAGTGAATGACAGTTAACGTTCTGAAAAAGAAGAGGGGGCTAGGTCCTTTGCACAAGCAGACAACTTCAAAGCCCTCTCTGGTTTTAAAGGGTCATTTTAGTCCTCCGAGGAGGGACGTGGGGAAGCACTTGCTGGTTTTCTGTCTGCCTCACAGCTCTCACAGTTGAAGGAGGGGTGCTGGAGAGCTGTCCTAAGCACTTCCATCATCATCATCTCGTTTAATTTTTACAAGCCCATGGGCCGGTACTGTCCCTACAGTACAGATGAGGACACGGAAGCTCACACATCTACAAAATGGCAGAACTGAGATTTGAATTCACCCTAAGTTCTGAGATTTGGTTTTCTTATTGTCGAGGGAGGAAAAATAAAATCACTCAAGCCTTCTGAACATCCACTGCGGAACAGAAGTAAAGCCCTCCCCTGCCCAGCACACACATACCCCTGCCAGCCCCCACCACCCTGCCCAGGACAGAGCGGAGACCAAGGGAGAATACGCATCATTTCTCTCTGTACAGTTTTTAATTTTTTATTTTTTGATGTTGTTCAGATGAATGACACACTCAAGTTACAAAAATGGGGCCTTAAAAGAAGCACATTGTACAATGAACAAGCAGATTGGAGTTAAGAACACTGAAACGCTAACCCGCTACCACGAGAAGAGACAGGGAGAGAATACAGGGTGGGGAGGGAGGGGCTGCCAACACAGGGGTCAGACAGAACTGAAAGGGGGGGCTAACTCAGTGAGAAAAGGGGAAGGCAGGTCCTCGGGGCCTACTCAATTTCCAGACACCACCTCCTGGTCTCCCATACCCACTACTTGCCACCACCTCCCATCCCCACTCCAACCTGGTCACACATACGAGTAGGTGAGACAGGGCCCCAGAAAGGGCCGAGCCATTCAGCTCTTCCAAAGGTGGGGCGGTATCACCTTGCCCTAGTGCAGCCAGGACTTGGGAGGTGACAGTGGCAGCAGTGGCATAAGAAGCCAGTGGAACAGTCTATCCAAGATCAAGCCCCCGTGCCCCCCGCCCCACTCCCAGACCTGCCCCTTCCCCCCCACCATGATCCAAAGGCCCTCTCTACAAGTTTTTTAGAGAGGCCCCCAGTCACCCTGCAATTATATAAATAAATAAATACTGAGCCCCTGGGCTTGGAGGACAGGCTGGGGAGGGAGGGGTAGCAGGGGTAGAGGAAAGAGGAGAGGAAGGGGGACGGGGGGGGGGGGGGGGGTCACAGACATAGTAAATAGTTGTCTCCGTCCCAGCAACACTTCTCTCTGGATTTTTCTCTCCTTTTTGTGTTTGTTGAACAAGGAGCTAACATCTCAAGGACAAATACTTAAAAATATACATTTTTTTTTTTTTTCTTTTTCGCCTTTGTCATCGTCATCTTGCTTTGGAGACTGCTGAGGTCAAAGTTCAAACCGCACGAAGGACCGGCGGCTTGGAGTTTTTGTGTATTTTTTTTTTCATTTTTATTTTTATTTTTTTTTCGCTTTTTTTCCCAACGTATAAAAAGGTAGCGGAGTTGTCTGTGGGTTTTTTTTTTTTTAATGGTTAAATCTTTGGTTTGTTTCTTTTTTCTCTTGGAGGCCTTTATCTCTCGCACTTGCCTTTCCCACTCAGAGGCCAGTGGGGCCCGCGTGTCGCAGTCTTGCTCAGTCTGTCACTCTCTCTCTCACTCAGTCCCCCTACCCTGGGCTAACAGGGGAGAGAGGCACCCTGGGATTTGGGTGAGGGGGAGGACATCTAGTCAGGTCAAGAGGTCATCCTCTATGTAGCTGGTACCTTAACCCATCTTCCCAGGGCCGCCAGGGGGTTGGAGACCCTCTCTTGACCTTCCCCCAGGGAGATGCGTGAAAAGCTCACACTCTTCTCCTTCCCCATCTTAGTCCCCACCCATAAGGGGTGTGGTTCCCCATCTCTGCCTACCCCCACTTACACTCCCAGCCTCTCCCTCCCATTTCCAGCCCCCATCCACCCAGAAGAGAACAGAGAGAGGTGTTTTAGTTACTGGCATTGTTTTTTTTTGGCACGATTAAAAGGCCTGCCAGGATGGCAGGCCCAGTCTCTGTCCCTCCCTCGAGTAGGAGGTCAGGGCCAGGTGGAGAGAGATCCAGAGGGCTCCCCTTTCTCCAATCCACTCATCTTCCTCTCTTTGGAGCCCAGGCCCCTGGCCCCCCATCTCAGACGTCTCACCTAGCCCAGAGCCTGGCCTGGGGTCTCCCTCCCCATCCCCCACAAAGTTCCCCAGCCCCAACTCTCTCGCTCACACACAGACACACGGACACAGGCTCTGCACAGACCACAAAATAAAAACGATGAGATAGTTTTGTTTCCCGGAGTCGAGACGGGGGGGGGGGGGACTGGAGGGGAAGGGGCAGAGGGGGGTGGGGGGCATGAATTCCCCCATCACCTTCCCAACCCTGGCTCCCTCCAGCCCCCCAGCCCCTTGCCCTGGCTGGCCCCCAGCCAACGATATTTGGTTTCCTTTTTTTAACATTAAAGTTCTATGAGGTATTTGGTGCCTTATCTCGAGTCCTGGGGGAGGGGGCCCAGGGGGGAGACCTGGGGCACGCTTGCCCCTCCTTCCCTCCCACCCCCTTCCCAATATTTGGTTTCACAGCTGTAGTTAAAGCTTGGGATTTGGTTATTTTTCCCCCTCCCAGGAATTTTTCTTTTTTTCTTGTTTTTTTTTTTTTTTCTTTTCCTAGTTATGGGGGTTGGATGGGGAGGTCCCCACCACCCCCAGCTGCACGGGGGTCCCTCCACCAATGTCAGGGCATCGGCCCCATCCCTGCCCCCTGCTTCCTCCTCTCCTCTGCCCCACTCCCCCCCACACACTGGGGTGGTGGAGAGGCCCCAGGTGGCAGCACTTGATGAGGAGGACGCAGGATGAAGTGGGTGGTGGTGAGTCCTGGATTTTCTTTCCTTTTTTTTTTTTTTTTTTTCCTTTTTTTGTGTTTTTGGTTTTTTTTTGGTTTTTTTTTTTTTTTTTTTTTTTTGGTCTAGAATCATAGTTTTTGAGTCATCTCCACCATGCCTTCCATGCTGCCTGTCTTCTCGGAGGGGTTTTTGGTTGTCATTCCTTTCATTTTGCTCTGCTCAAATGTCCTTCCTATGTGGTCAGGAGCCCTCGGCCCCCATCTCTACCCATGGGCTGGGGCCCAGGCCCTTGCGCCAGTTCCTTCTCTTCAGGAAATAAAAATGGACAAACTCAGAGGTAGGGTGCGGGCAGGGAGTCGGTTCAGCAGAGATGCTTACATTCGGGCGAGGATGGGTCGATGGCACGTCGGGCCCCCTCGGTGCCAGGGTGGGAGGGGCGGCCACCACCGCTGCCCAGACAAGGCACCCCGAGACCCCTACAACAGCAGAGTCTCTGCCGCCTCCATGGCCCAGCCCAACAGTTCCATTTCCCGGGTGGGAGAAGGGAGACAAGAAAAAAAAGAGAGAACGCTGAAGCCTCGGGGCGCAGGGTGGCCTCTCTCGGGGTGTCCGGCAGCACTGCCCATCTCTGTGTCTTGGGGAGCTCCCCTCCCTCTGTTCCTGCCCACTGGGGAGGGGGGCAGGGGCCAATCTGCTGCCGGGCTCCCCTCTCATTTTAATGGCTCGCGTCCTTCACAGCAACACTTTGGTTTGAGGAGAGACACAGAAAGGAGGAGATTGGGAGAATGAGAGAAGAGCCAAGGGAGAGAAAGAAAAAGAGGTGTGAGCAGAGAGAGTGGAGACAGGACAGAGGACAGACAGAAGAGAACAGAAAAAGAAATCAAAGGAGGAATCAAACCACCCGAAAGTTTGTTACTTTTCCTTCGTCCATTCTTTTTGCTTTCTCATTCTTTTTTTCCTGTTTTTTTTTTTAAAGCTTTTTCAGTCGATTGGGGGGGCGGGGAGTTTGGGGTTCTTCACCCCTGTCCCTGACACCCTCTCTCAGCCCTGCCCACCCATTCCATCCGCCTTGGCTGAGGGACAGGCCCTGCCCCAGCCGCCCCCCTCCGGCTTTCCCGAAGACGACGTCCATGAGGTATTTGTGAAGAGAAAGAAGCATCTGTCCTTCCGTCCGCCTTGGGGACCAAGGGCCTGGACCACCGGTGCAGGGACTTGGCTCCACCTCGCGGCTCCTTCGTATTCTTGAAGAGTCCTTATCTTCTTTCCCTTAAATATATATATATCTATAAATTCTTTTTTTTTCTAGTTTTAATTTATTGTTTGGTTTTTTGTTTTTGTTTGTTTGGTTTCTTTTTTTGGTTCAAAACTTTGTCGGCCTCCACGACAGCAGGAGGGTAAAGTGGCTCCCAGTGGGTTGTCTCCTCCGTCCGTGGAGATGCGTACGGGGCCGGGCAGACACGGGTCCAGCCGAGACTCGTGGGAGGGAGTGGTGGCCACCACAGTGCCCTCTCAGACGGGCCCGCAGGCCGTGGCGCTGTCCCCACCACGTGGACCCTGATGGGGTCGCCATCTCGAGGAACCCCACCACTGGGGTGCGTGCGTGTGTGCATGTGTGTGGGGAGGAGAGGAAGAGGCATCTGCCAGTGTCAGAGGGGCACAGGGTGGGAAGAGCGAGGTGAGCTCTCTTTTTGGTTTCTGGTCAAAGACGGGAAGGATCCCACGGATAGGCACTGGAATATGAATTTTTTTTTCAGGGAAACCGACAGACAAGGATGGAAAAAAAGACAACTTGAATGCCCTCGCCTCATCCCCTCTTGCCTGAAATGTCCACCTTCCCACGGGCAGGGGAGGAGGGTAGATTCCAGAGCAGAGGAGGGTGATGGGGTTGAGGGGGGGGTGGAGCGTGTGAGAGCTAGAACTTGGCAAAATGGCCTAGCCTACCCTTCAAAGGGAAAAAGGGGAGGTACAAGGGGTGAAAAGTCATCCCAGGCCTTCCCCTGGACGCTCCCCTGGCTGGGGGTAAGGGGGAGTGAGGAGGTTAAAGCGAGACCCCCTGCCCAGGTGGGGAGAGCCTGGGGTCCAAGGGACAAGGGGACACATTTTAGGGACACATTCTGTTGAGCGCAATGCTAAAAATTCTGTACATCCTTTGGATGAAGCTACTGAATATTTGGTGTAAAGTTGTTCAGGCCCTTTCACCTTCTGGAAAAGAACATTTGGTTGATGGTTCTGAGCCCAAGCCCACTGCCCCGGGCTGTGCCCCATCGCGGGACGGTCTGGGCTGGGGCTGGGAGGCTGGCACATTCTCTTTTTCTTTCTCTGTTGCCCCCCAAGGGGGAGGCAAGTTTGGGGTTGGTCCCACAGCCAGGGCTCAGCTGAGGTCCGACCTCGGAGGCTTCTCCGCGGCTGGGGTTCTTATTTGGTGTCACAGCGGTGAGGGTGAGCACGCTGAGGTCTGGCTCGTGACTTTTGGTGTGGTTTTTGGTTTGTTCGGCTTGGTGGGGGGGGGTTGTTTGTTTTTGGTTTTGTTTGTTTTTCACCTCTGGTTCCTTTGGGGCAGCTGGTTTCTGTTGTGATTATTTTTGGTTTTCTTTTTTGTTGGTTGGTTTCTTCTCTCTCTTGGTTTATTTAATTTTTTTTGGTTGGTTGGTTTTTTTGGTCTTTCCTCCCTTGTCACTCCTGCTCGAGGACCCCCTGTGTCCCCACTGCTGGCCTCCTTGCCCTCTTCCCAGGCGGGAAGCCGAGGTGGGGGTCAGAGGAGGAGGAGGGGAGGCATGGTGGGCCCTCACTCGGGCTTGGACCCTGCCTCAGGGCCCCCTGGGCCTCCAGGGGTCTGTGCTGCCGCCTCGCTGCAAGTAGAGGAGGAGGAGGACGAGGAGGAGGACGACGACGAGGAGAGGCCAGGAGACTTGCTGGAGATGGAGGCTGCCACGGCCGCAGCGGCTGCGGAGACCAGGCCCACGCCAGGCGGGGCGCTGAGCAGGGGCAGCCCGGCATGGTTCAAGAAGAGCGGCGAGGTCACCAGGCCGGGGCTCCCCGGGGCCGCACCGGCCGCCCCCAGCACCAGGTTCCCGCTGCCATCAAGGCTGGTAAGGGGCAGGGTTCCACCAGAGGCCAGGGCTGGCAGGGAGAGAGAGAGGCTGGGCTGGGGCACCTTCCGGCATCCTGCCCAGAGCGCCCCCTGTCTTCCCATCTGCCCCACTGACCCCCGTCAGCACCCCTCACACCTTCCCCAGAGGTGAGATGGGCATGAAGAGGCGAGCGATGCGGTGAGCAGGGGCAAGATGGCATGGCTGGAGCAGCAATGGGGGGGCTGGAGGCCCCGGGGGGGCAGGGCAGGTGACCATGGGAGTGACATGTGGCAGCACGCACCTTGGATAGTGGCCAAAGGGTTGTTGCTCATGAGGGCTGGACTCAGCCCGGAGCTCAACCCCACCATTGTGCTTCTGCAAGAGGCAAAGCAGAGGGTTAGCAGGGGCAGGACCCCGGCAGAACTGCAGGGCAGCTCCCCATCCAGAAGCAGCAGCGACCCTGCTTCTCCCCGAAGTTTCCCCCCACCCCCTCACAGCTGTCCACTTACCCCGTGCTGGGGTTCAGGCCCGACAAGCCGATAGCCGAGTGGCTGCCTTGAGGGCTGGGATTTGTGCTGTTGGTGGTGGCCGGGGGCGGCGGGGGAGTGACAGAGGGGATGGAATTGAGGGGGGGCACAGCCCCACCCCCGCCCCCACCTCCTCCGGCTGTCCGGCTGGGGTGGAGCGTCCCCACAGCTGAGGATAAGGTAGTAACTACCAGAGAAAGACACAGAGAGGGAGACTTCAGCTTCCATTCATTCATTCTTCACCAAGTAACTGGGGTCAACTCGTTTCTTCCCCTGCCCAGAGCTTCGACTCCACCCTCTCCGCCCAGGGCCATTTCTCTGTGCCTCTGCCACAGTGACAGCAGTCACAGAAGCACAGAAAGAACAGCTGCCACCCACTGAACCTGAGCCCTGTGCCCAGCAGGTGCTCACTGACCAAAAACCCACTCTGAGTCTCAGCCCTGACTCCTGTTACCCAGACAAGACCTGGGCACCCGGAAGACAGAGCCCTATGGCTCCCTCTAGGGGCCAGGCAGGGGGGTGCGGCTCAGCTATCCCCAAGGCCCACCGCACTCAGAGCCTAGTCAGTACCAGGTGGGTCCTTGAACCAGGGCCTTCACCTCTCAGGCCTCAGTCCCCTCATCTGGAAAATGGGGACAACCATAGACTCTGCCTCATAAATGGGTGTGAGGGTTAAATGAGTCAACATATTTTCGAGTTTAGAACAGTGCCGGGCATATCCTTTGCAGCCTCTCCACCCCAGTAGCTCTTAATATAAGGAAGGGAAATATAGTTTTGAAGCAGGAACTATAACTATAACTACCACCTGATTTCTCCGGGAGATTGCCATAACAGTTTTGTTTTATATTATTCATATATATATTATATTATTCACATACGTAGGTATGTATGTGTGTGTGTGTGTATATATATGGTGTTAAATGGCAGGCCCTGTCCCAGCAAGGGGGAAGGGCTTTGGGTACAAAAGCCTGTATATCTATATTCATGCAGGTAGCTCCTGTACATAGTATACATTCATAATGTCAAAAATTGAGGTTCAGTGAGACAAAGTCACTTCTGGTGAATGTTGATAAATGCCAGAAACAACCCAAGTAGATCCTGCAGCAACCACACACTTTGCTCATGTGATATCATGGAGCAGATGGAAGTGACCTGCTCTGGCTGGAGGGAGGAAGCGGCCCTCTCCCTTCTGCCCTCTCCTGCCCCCTTCAATCCCGGCTGAGCCTTGAGGCCTCTGAACACCCCAACCCTCTCAAGAATCTTAGGCCTATACTGTGCTCCCTCACCACCTTCTGTCCCCTCTGACCTGTTGTGCTCAGACTGCTGGAAGCTTGGGACAACGGCAAGGTCCCGGCGCCCCCTTGGGATGTGACCTGGGGAGAGAGGAAAGAAGGCAAGTTAAGCCACTGTCTCCAGCAGCCCCCATTCGTCTGCCTCCCGGACAGGGGGAGAGGGGCTTTGGGGATGATGCTATGTCTGTATTGTGCCAGGGGCTTCCTCCATACCTCTCCTCACATTTATCCCAGGGAAGCCCAAACCACAGCAGGAAGCGATCCCTGTCACTTAAGAGTGCCCCCCCACCCCGGCCCCATCGGTCTGGCAAAGGCAGGCCCACATGCACAGCCACGCTGCTTGATTTCCTGGGATCACCCACCAGCCTCTTTCTTGGTCTCCCCACTTGCAGTCTCATCCTTCCCAGGAGGCTTACTCTAAATGTGACCCTGTCCCTTCCTGGCTCAAAATTGCTCCTTAGCTCCTCACTGCCTGTGGTTCAAGTTCAAACTCAGCCCCACTTCTTCATACACATTTCAGCTCCAATCACTCCAACCACACTCAGTTTCCTCAAATTAGGTTCAACGCTCTGGCTTCTGAGACTTTGCACTCACCAGTCCCTTTGCCTGCCCTGCTCATGTCTGGCTAACACTCTCTTGTCCTACAAGACCCAGCTCAGAAGGTCCCCTCTTCCTCCACATCTTGGAGTGGGGGCCCTTTAGGTCCCTTGCTCCTTCCTGTGGTGTTACAGCTCTTTTCACACCCGGTGAATAAAGGGATGTCCCAGTGTGTCTGACTTGAGCAGGTCGGTGTGCAGCTGTGGACCTGCATGCACACCCAGGCAGCGCTTATGTCCCTGCCTGTGTCTGTGCGGTTGAACCTGGAGGTGTGTGTGGGGGCACCATGGGTCCTGGAAATATGTAGCTATCCCCGTGTGGCTCCGACCTACGATAACTGTTTGGCTATGTGGGTATATATCTGCGGTGCTCTCACCCCCACACCAGACCACAGTTCCCTCCCTGGCCACTGTGTGTCCCTGTGTGGCTGTGCTGCACCACCATGACAGCCTGTCTCCAAGGGTGTCTCTGACTGCCTCGGTTCTAGGTACTGTGGACCACCAGGTGGGTGGTGCTCACACAGGTGCGGGCAAAGGACAAGGGGGTAGCGGAGCTTTCAGTACCAGATGGGGGCTGTAGCTGGCTGGCTTGCCCGGGCTGGGCAGCATGGGGGCTGCGCTGCAGGGGTTGATGCGTTTCTCCTTCTGGCGCCGGTTGCAGAACCAGACGCGGATGACTTCTTTCTCCATGTGCAGCTGCTCCGCGATCAACAGGATCTCCTCTGAGGTAGGCTTCTGGTTCTGCAGGCAGAGGACTCCTTAGCCCCGGCCCATCCTCCCACCACCCCCTGACCCCCCAGGACCGGCACTGGGGAAGGGGGGCCTCACCGCTAGAAAACTCTTCTCTAAGGCGAAGCGGACGTTGGTCTCGATGCTGGTCCTCTTCTTGCGTCTCCGGCCAGGGAGTCCGTCGAAACCCAGGCTGGGGCTGCTCAGCTGGTTGGGGCTGGGCATGCTTGAGTCCACAGACATAGTCTCTGCACCCGGAAGGAGGCCAGGGCGTGAGGGCGCCTCCCCGAACTCAGCCTCTCCCTACACCACCTACATGCCCCTGCTAGGAAGCCCCTATCCAGTCCCCTACCTGCATCATTGAGCCACTTCTCCAGGAGGGGCTTGAGTTTGCACATGTTCTTGAAGCTCAGGTTGAGGGCCTCGAAGCGGGAGATGGTCGTCTGGCTGAAGTCGTTGCCGTAGAGCTTGCCCATAGCGAGGCCCACATCTCCCTGGGTCAGTGGGGAGAGATTGGGGGTGGCAGTCAGGGTCCGGTCTTAGAGCTCTGGGAAGCTCTCACCCACAGCTGACAAAACCCTGACCACCCACCCCTCAAACCCTGAGGGTAATGCCCTGCCCAGCTGGGCCTGCCTCTCACCTGACCTCTACCTGGCAATACTCTGCCCCCCAGCTGGTGGCACCCTGTATCCCTCTCACTAGAAGACCACCTCCTCACCCTTCCCCCCAGCTGGCCATGCCCCACCACCCCACCCGCAACTCGGGTCCCGCTGGGTTGGGGGGGCCACAGACCTGTGTGAAGCCCAGCTTGATGCGGCGTTGCTTGAAGGTGCGGGCGAACTGCTCCAGCTCCTCCAGGTCACTGGGCTCCTCGGGGTGGGATGGTGGCTCCAAGCATTTGGGGGGCTGCGGGTGCGAGAGGTGCGGGTCGGGCAGCGTGGGGCGGGTCACGGCCTGGTGGGGTGGGCAGGTGGGTGGGATGTAGGACCGAGGACCAGGATGGGCTCAGCAATGGCTGCCCGTTCCCCAACCATGCCTCCCTGTGGGCCAGTCTCTTCCTGTAGACTCCCCTCTACTGGCTCCCAGGCAGCAGGGCCCCCATGCCAAGTCAGTCGCCATGGGGGTTACACTCTGCAGTCTCATGGGGTCCTCTCACTGCCCAGAACTCTGCTCATTCCTTCCCAGCCCGTGAGCTCCCAGAAGGAGCAGACAGCTTGTTTCAAGAAGGGCTCTTTTCCCTGGAGCTGGGGCCTGGGGGGACTAGTTCTACTACTGGGTAATTGTGGCAAGCTATTAACTTCTCTGGGTCTTGGCTTCCTGCTCCCCAGATGGAAACAGGATAGGAACATGGAGCTTTACCTGCCCCATGGGGCAGCTAGATGAATTTGATTAAAAATGAGTGAATTACACTCTCCTGCACTGTTGGTGGGAGTGCAAACTGGTCCACCACTATGGAGAGCTGTGTGGAGATTTCTGGACCTACTAAACATAGAGCTTCCATAGGATCCAGCAATTCCACTCCTAGGTATTTACCCAAAGGACACAGAAACATCCATTCCAAAGAACACCTGCACCCCTATGTTTATAGCAGCACTGTTTACAATAGCTAAGATTTGGAAACAACCCAAATGCCCAAAAATAGATGACTGGATCAAGAAGATGTGGTACATATACACCATGGAATATTACTCAGCATTCACAAAAGATAAACACATGCAATTTGCAGCAACGTAGATGGCGCTGGAAGGGATCCTGCTCAACGAAATAAGCCAGAAAGAAAAAGAAAAATACCGGATGGTCTCACTCATAGCAGGGATCTAGAAAACTTAAATAAGGGACCAGGAAAAAGAATAACTATAAGAAAGAAAATATCAAAATCAACAAACAACTATGAACCAGAGACACTCTATGGGGGATGGGGGTGGGGAAAGGAGGGCTTGGGGTCAAAATAAGGGGGTTGTAATTGTATGGGGAATATAAAAATAAAATTTAAATAAAAAATATTTTGAAAAAAAATGAGTGGGTTACAAATAAAGGAAGTTGTTTTTTTGTTTTTTTGTTTTTTTTTTTAAAAAGCCCTTGCTAATGGGTCACAATGGAGCTTTTTTTTTTTTTTTTAAAGATTTATTTATACAAGCACTGGGTACAGTCAGAAGCGCGGGAGGGTGAGAGAATTCACCAGAGCCAGAGCGGGGAGCAGAGCAGGCAGAGGGACCAAGGTACACTGCTGAGGGGTGCAGCGGGCAGCAGGAGAGGTCTGCGCGCATGTGGGACCCTCCTCCGGTGGCCGGGAAGCAGTGGGAGCGGGGGATCGAACCGGCGCTGCAGAGGCTGCGGGCATCTTCGCAACCCAGCGCTCAACCGCTGAGCCACCGGGGGAGGCCCAGGAAGTTGTTTTTTTAATAGATGGGAAGGGTTCCTGTAAAGGGGGTGGGGGTGGGGTTTACAAAAAAGCAACAGCTCTCTGGAATAGTTCATTTCTCTAAAAATAAAAGCTCTGAAGCAGATTTTGGAAAGCCTATAGGATGTGACCCCCTCATTAGGATTAAGGCATCACCCTGTAACCACACACATGAACTGTCCGCAGAGAAGCACATGTAGCTTACACCACCACCAGGGATGAAGAAAAGTCAGATGCTGTATATGTCTCTGACCAAGGCAGATTTTGCAGCCGAGTGACTTCTGGGGCCAACATTATAAGAACAGCCTGACTTATTGAGCAGCTTTGGATTTCAAAATTGCAGCTAAGCCTTACGTTTGGGGTTTTCAGAAATAGTCCATATATATATATTTTTTTTTTTTTGAAAGGGCCATTTAAAAAATGGGTAGAAGGGAACTTTGAAATCTGTAAAGGATCCCGAAAGATTATTATGGAAGTCTAGAATCCAAGAGCAAAGAGAAAGAAAGGCCGGGGGCCAAGGAGCTGCCTCTGTCTGAGGGGCTCCCTGCCCCGCCAGCAGTTACCATGCCCCACAGAAGCCCCCAGGCTTACCAGGATTGCTGCTTTGTCAAGAGAAGCTAGGACTCTGGCATATTCTGGGAATTTTTTTTACAACTAATTCGATTTTTAAAATATGGTGTGGGCCAAATAAAAAATTCTGGTTTTCAGTCTCCGGCCTGGAATGGAATTAGTACCCGAGAGACACTTTAGTATACCCGAACATACTCAGTGTGTTCTCTGAGGAAAGTAACTCTTGGGTCTAATTTGATGCCCCAACACTTCGAGTCTGTGCACACATGCATGATGGGGTCTGGGGTCACATCCACAGCTTCTATCAGATTCTCATGGGTGTCATATGCCTTGTAGGGTTTGGAGCCACTGGCCTGAGGAACTCCCACAGCAAATGAGTGGCAGAGCAGGGCCGGGCCCCAGGTCTCCCCACTCCTGTCTTGGCTGCTGTGGGGTGGGCCAAATGGTGAGGAAATTCCCAGCCCCCTGCAGGTCCAGCCTGGTACTTGGTGGGCACTCACCTGTGTGGGCAGCCCGGCCCGGGGCTGGGAGGTCAGAATAGCTCCCTGGGATTGCTGAGGTAGCTGGAATAGATTTGGCGTCGGTAGCAGGCCTGGGGAGACAAGGGGGAAAGCACAGGGTAAGCGGGGAGGGGGAGCTGAGGGGAGGTCTTAGGGCAGGGGTGGAGGTGGGGGGGTACATTACCTGGCTGACTCTGCTGGGCCTGCGGCAGCAGGAACTGAGCAGGTGGCTGGAGGTGGTGACCCGGCACAAGCACCAGCTGCTGGAGCTGGAGGAGCTGCTGTATGTCCTGGCAGGAAGGAGGATGGACAGAAAGACAGCCTGAGTCCTGGCCTGGCTCCTCCCTCTGTATCACCTTAGCCCTGAGGGGTGCCCCAGGGCAGCCAGGAACCTCAGTGGCAGCAAGGGATGGAACCCAGTCTCTGCAAGGCATCCCTGAGCTAAGGGCACCCGGGAGGCTTCTTCCAACACCAGGGTCCTACCTGGCCCTTCCTAGGAGGGTTGCTCTTTCCTCACATTTTCTTTCTTTTTTTTTTTTTTAAGATTTATTTATGTATTTATACAAGCACTGGGTACAGTCAGAAGCGCGGGAGCGTGAGAGAATTCACCAGAGCCAGAGCGGGGAGCAGAACAGGCAGAAGGACCGAAGTACACCGCTGAGGGGAGCAGAGGGCGGCAGGAGAGTCTGCGCGCCATGTGGGACCCTCGCCCAGCGGCCGGGGATCCAACGGGCGCTGCAGAGGCTGCAGGCAGCTTCGCAGCCCAGCGCTCAACCGTTGCGCCACCAGGGAGGCCCACACATTTTCTTTCTTGATGAAAGATTTGCCTTTTTTTTTTATTCCCACAGAACAAATAGAACCGTTTAAAAATGTAAACAGACTAAGTCTTGCCTCCTTTTAAAACATTCCCAAGGCAAATGATATCATGTCTGGAATTAACTCTAAAACACTCCAGCAAATAGTAGGTGAGTAAATTGGTGTGGCTGTTTCAGGAAACTCTTAAGCACTGTTATGAGTTGAATTGTGTTCTCCCAAAAAGGTATGTTGGAAACTTAACCTCCCAAACCTTATTTGGAGATGGGCGTCTTTGCAGATAATCTAGTTAAAAGGAGGTAATTTGGGTGACCCTAACCCAGTAGGACTGGTGTTCGTATAATATGGGGAAATTTGGACACAGGCCAGAAATGTACAGAAGGAAGTTGATGTGAAGAGACACGGGGAGAAGATAGCTATGTGCAATCCAAAGAGCAAGGCCTGGGACAGATCCCTCTTCCCAGACACCAACCCGGCCAACACCTGAAAATGCCTCAGTGTTCAGACAGCTAGCTTGTGGTTCTCTGTTACAGCAGCTCTAGCAAACGAACACAGGCACTGCTTCCCAGCGCTGATCAGACACCTGCCTTATGACCCAGCTAGTTCACTCCTGGGTATCACCCACCACACACACAGACAGGTGTCACCAAGAGACACATGTGCTAGACTATTCATGGCAGAACCATTTGTAACCTCTATGCCCCAGACACCATGTTCATGACAGAGGTCATCTCATGTCAACCTTTTATGTTCCACTTGCACATTAGAGGTTCAGGAGGCAGAACCTGGAAGGAATCTGGGAGGAGGAGGAGGTTCTGGGGAACCAGCCATAGTCAGTTTCACCATATGGGTGCCAGTGACATGCATGTGCTCAAATTATGAGTATCATTGAGCCATGTAGCTGTGATTTGTGCACATTTCTATATTTGTTATATTTCAGTAAAAAGATTTTGTAGGGGGAGAATGAGGTATGGCAAGAGGGAGAAAGAAAAAAATCTAGTCTGTTTACTAAAAAAGTGAGGGATACAACTGAAACAGGATGAGTAAGACGTTCATAGCTGCTGAGTGGTGAGAAGGTGCACAGAGTTCACTACCATTTCCTGCATTTTTAGGTTTGGACAAGTCCAAAAGAAAAAGCAAAAACTCCTTATACACACACACTCTCAATGTTTTGTTGTTGTTGCCCAGAACACAATCAAAACTCCTCACTTGGTCTCTAAGTTCCTTTATCCTGAAGCCTGTACTAGTCTTCTTCCTGCCCTCAGCTCCTACCACAGGACCTTTACACATGCTGTTTCTGCTCCCAGGCAGCTCTAGTTTTTATCCTTCTGCCTGGGTCTTTCTTGTCACTCAGGTCCTGGATAAAGTCACCATTCAAAGATGCCCTCCTTGACTACCTTAAATCTAAACCAGCCCACCACCAACCCTCCCTTTCACCTTCCTTTCACCTCCTTCGTAAGACTCATCACCACCTCAAGGTATCCCTCTTCTGTTTGCTCTTTGACAGCGTGTCTCCCTTACTGGGCTGTCATCTTCATTAGAGTATGGTTTTGACCGTTTGGGTCACAGCTGTCATCTCAGCACCTAGAACAGCACCTGACACCCAGCTGCTGCTCCACATTTCTTAGCTGAATGAACCGAGACCATGCTTCATTATTTACTTACCAACTTCTATGTATAGTTGAAAGTTGTAGTATTTACAGTTATAACATATAGTTACAATTTCTCCTGAGAAGTTGAGGTGGAGATGATGCATGCCCCTCACTTCCTCCCAATGCTATTATTCTGAAGACAAATTATGCCAGGAAGTGAACAAACTGGGGGAAAACATGAGCAACTGAACACAAAGCACTTACCTCTCTATTATATAAAAAGTGATTACAAACCCGTAAAAAAAAAAGACTAATGACCCCACAGTAATCTGGTTAGTGGATCGAGAGACTGCCCAGAAAAGGAAATACGAACAGCTCATAGCTCTGAATGAAAATGCACTCAGATTAAGACAGACACTCATAGTAAAACAAACACTGCAATAGCTGCCTGGAGAGACTGGTATTACCTATCGGCAAAGATGATGCCAGGCCCTGTTGAGGGGTATGGGAAATGCTTCCGTGTATGAGAGGGTCTTTGGTGATGTCTGTGAAACCTGCAGATAGACCCTTGTCTCAGCTGTCTACTTCTGGGACTTTATCTTATGATATACTCACACTTGTGCAAAATGACCTCAGCTTTCTAGAAAGAAATTCCCAGAACAAGCAGTATTTTAGTAAAACGGTAGAAACCAGCAGGTGCCGGGGGGATGAGTGAGGGTGGAGCTTTCTAGTGGAATACTACGCAATCATAAAAAAGAACATCTGTGTCTGGATATGGAACAATCCCTGAGAATTCCTAGGAGTGGAAAGCTCAAGGGACGGAACAGTGTTCCATAGCTGTTCATGTTAAAAAACATTAGATTGAGGTAGTTGCTGAAGTGTGTGTAAACTATATCTGGAAAAGGGCCATCCCGGTGGCGCAAGGGGTTAAGATGCAACCTGTGAAGATATCCACAGCCGTTGCAGCACAAGTTCGATCCCCAGACAGGGAGCTGCCCCACATGGTGCAGCAGACCTCTCCTGACTTGCCCATTGCTCCCCTCAGCAGTGTATTTTGGTCCATCTGCCTGTTCTGTTCCCCATTCTGTCTCTGGTGAATCCTCTCACTGCCCCCTCACACCTCTGGCCTGCACCCTAGTTCCTGTATGAATAAATAAATCTTTAACAACAAAAAAGAAACTATATAAGAAACTGGTATCACTGTAAATCCTTCCATTCCTCTTGAATTTTGAAACTTTTCAAAGTACAAAGAAAAAAACAGATTCACCCTACTCTCACCCACCCAATGAACAGTCACTTCTGCCCTCATTCTCGCCCTTCCAACCACTTGTCTGGGGCAGTTCATGGCCATTCCCTGTCCATCTGTGAAGGCCTCTGCTTTCCCCACGTGCTTTGGAAGGGGAAAAGAGTACCCAGTGGCTCCCTGACCCCACAGCTGTCCCACTCCAGCTGTTAATCATCAGTTTAAGAGGGTTGAAGACCTAAGGTGCTATTGGAACCAAGCAGTAGGTAGGACGATTTTTCCAGGAAAAGTGAGGACGGTTTTTCCAAGAAAAGTGATTTTTGTGTGTGTGAAATACTAAAAATTATATTTCAAGAGATCTGCACCGACTGTCACAACATGTGGGATTCCTTTGGTGACCAGGACACTACTGCTCATGCTGCTGTGGCCTACTGGCTATATGTGTAATAGAGCTAAATGGCACATTTTGAATTAGAGGATAGTGAAAATGAAGATGTCATTTTATTGCTATGCAAGGTCATGGACCACTCCTGAATTCTGTCTACAAACCCCTGTACGGGTGGCCTGTGCAATCTGGTCCCTATTCTAAAATACATTTTTTTTTAAGATTTATTTATTTATGCATACAAGAACTGGGGTACAGGCCAGAGTTGTGGAGGGTGAGAGGATTCACCAGAGACAGAATGGGGAACAGAAGAGGTGGGTTGCCCAACATATACTGCTGAGGGGAGCAGTGGGTGAGATAGGAGGGGTCTGCTGTGCTATGTGGGTCAGCTCCCTGGCAGGGGGTCGAACCCATGCTTCAGAGGCTGCAGATAGCTTCATAGTGCTGTGCTTAACCCCTTGCACCACTAGGGAGGCCCCTGTTCTAAAATATTCACTGAACCATAAACCCTCCACTATCTTATATTTGTGATATAATCCGACTCTTGCCATGTTCCCCACACGCCTCTCCTTCCTCACCTCCCACAATGCTCTCACTCCCTAGTGCTGATCTAGCCATACTGGTTTCCTTCCTGTAACAGAACCCAGAAAGAAGCCCCTGATTCAGGGCCTTTGCCAATGTTGTCCCTGGTGCCCCCCCTTCTTGCTCTGCACATGACTGATCCTTCCTCATCATTCAAATATCTATCAAATGCCCCCTCCACAGAGAGGCCTCCACCCATCTGCCCTGACAAATGTCATCCTTTCCTCTATCACTTCTGATCATTACATTCTTCATAGATTATCAGCTTCCTGTCTGTCTCCTCAGACTGGATGCCAGGTCTCTGAGGGCACAGACATAGCTGCCTTCTTCTGCACTGTATTTCCAGTGTAGAAAGGGGCCTGGGCAGGGTGGACAGTCACTAAATGTTTGCCGACTAATGCAATTCAAGAATGAGAGCGCATAGACAGCCGGTAGGAGGCCTCATTTCTCTAGTCTAGAGGCAGCGTGCTTTCTGAGGCCACTTGGGGGCGTGTTGCGACCAAGTCAGAGGGCGGAGGAATTAGAGGAAGAAGGAGCTGCAGAGAAGGACTGGGGGCCAGGATGTTCCGTGCCTCATCTGCTCTGTACCTACCCACGGGACAAATTAGCAGAGGGCTGGCGTTCCCCATCAAAGCCAACAAGAGAAGACACCCATTCTCACTCATTTCTGTCTTT